TCGTGGCTAACATAAAGTTTAAATTGTGAAAAAATACAATTCAAAAAAATTTTATGCCCAAAGTAAATATTTTACGCAGACGAAGTCGCTGACACAGCGAGCTTAAGATAGTCTATTATTGTTTTAGAGCTATATTATAAAAATAGTTGTTTTTTATATTAAAAAACTATTTTTTAAAACAGATAAAAAAGCGTGTATTGATGGAAAGTGAAATTTTTCAAACACATCTAATTACGATGCGCTACCAACCTAAAAAGTCTTTTGAAAAATCTGAAATCCTAAAAAAAAATACCCTTCTATAGCTTTTTGGGATGTGCCTTAGTTATTCTATGAATAAATTCTTACTTACCTTCCGTTTATCCGATATTTTGTATGTTTTCTTAAGCTAAGAAAAACGCAGTTTTCATTAGAAAATGCTCGTTTAAGAACGTGTTATTAATTAAACTCAATTAAATAACAAGAAATAACGGACAACTAACAAGTACTATTAATAAGTGGTGCGTATGTTTTTGCTGCATGTAACAACTTAATTTCTGCCACGTATATAAAATTAGTGAAATCGCTTTCGTATGTGGGGTATCGGGCACATTTCTGTGTCCGTTTTAGTGATATTCTACTTACAAGTAGTTGTTGAGATTATGTGTCCTAGCCAAGCCCGGGACTTGGTGGTAAAAGCGTAAGTGGTGTTGAAGAGAAATTAGAGATTTGATAAGTTGTACCAACATCGTCTAAATGTATAATATAAATACGATAAAATAAAAATGTGGACACGACTCGAACCCACTCTGACAGCCTTTCGTAGTATCGCTATGATAGCCTATCTGTGCATGATCGTGGACTGTAAACTCGCCGAAATCACATTGTTTAGTCTAAAGCGAAGTTTCAATGCTCGTGACATAGAAATGATGTGAAAACCCGACAGCTGGTTAAGTACATGCTAAGTCTGAACATGGGTAATTCTGTTGACAAGTGGTTCAATGATGAAAGGATGGGCTCTCCACATGTGTACAAGTGGAGCAAATCAATTGTTCTTTGCGTGCTCAATTTTTGCAAATTCGTCATTTATTTGGGGCTTGGAGACATTGTTCGAGTTCAAATATTTCTAGATTAATTGTTTTGCAGTCTTTTTAGGCTGGTTCAGTAGTTATTTTAGACTTTTTGACTAGTTTGTTTAAAACAATCCTTAACCTTTCAAAATTTTAGTTTATCTGTTAATTCCAATTTTTTTGAACCCCTCATGTTAAATTTATTACTTATCTGGTATAAAATTAAAAAAAAAATAAAATCTGTCAATCATTTCTCTTTTATAGGTGTAAAGAGGTTTATTAAAAAATGACGAAATTCGGTAGGTACTTACTTTTATTATTATCTTTTATTACTTTAAAGAGAGCATAAGATATTAATCCATTGATGAAAAATATCTAATCTAAAAAATAACAAATAAATTATTGCTGCCTTAAACTCGAACTAATAGATAAATGACAATAGTTAAAGAACGCAACAGGTAGTGAGTAAAACAATAAAATAACAGGAAGTTACATTGATAACACGTAGAGCTCAGCAAGAGTAAAGTCCTGTGGGAATAAGACACCTATAAGAATAGGCGGTCGTACCAAAGTAGGGATTAACATGACAAGCTATGTATCGGCTATCAAGGCCCGTACGCACAAGATTATACGAAGAAGATAGTCTTTTCCAATATATTATTCATTCGCTCACGTCCTGTGAACATGACGAGAAATATATTAGGATTAAAATAGTACAGTTTTGTGAAGCATAATCACGACTCATACATAATTAATTTTTAGGCAGACGCCGTGGATCGACGTTACTACTAAATGTTGTTCCTAAAGTAATGTTTCATGTAGGTACTATCAAAATTTTGTATGTTTTTGTATAGGTATAATACCTACTTACAAAATATTGGGTCAAGATATTTTAGTTTATTTGATTGCAAATTAATTATAAGCACTTTGCATTGAGACTAAACAATATAGATTTTTTGTAAACTGAAAGTTTTTCATCAAAGTGAAAAACCTTCAATCGAAGGTTTCATTTTCTAGGTTGTAAACCTAATCTTGATCCTTGACTTAGTTTTCGATAAAGATCCCTAGATGGCGTTGATTACTCTCAAATCCAACATTGCGTTATAAACAACCTCCTTGTGTATTTTCTGTGGTGTGTTTTATAAATAATAAAGCAATAATAAAAAAAATAATAATAAAAATAACAACAGAAAAAGAATTAAAACAACATAACTTTATTCAGGTTTATTATCTGGATCTCTTATCATCGCCAAATCTATTATATCGATAGTATTTTTTAAGAAATATTAAATTTTTAGGATTATTTTAAGTTGTAATCTATTTGTAAAAGTTAAACATCAAAGACAATACTATTCACAATAATATGACCTAAATAAATATATTATAGTGTACAAGTATATTCAAAAGACTAATCTAATATCACTATTATTTATTGTTTGAAAGAAAATTTGTAAAAATCTTACCAAAATGCAAAAATAAGGCATATTTCTGGCAAAGTTTCTCTATAACAAATAAATGTACACTCAGTATTTTATATTACATATTAATAAGAACCGATCTTCACGTATTAGAGGTGAACTCTTGGAAAAAATAATAAATATAGTCATAGCTTAAAAACGTTGGTATGAGAAGATGAATAAAACTTGTATTTTTAAAGGCTATTAAATCCAAAACGCCTATACAGAAAGCCATTAGATAGTTTTTATCAATAAATTACTAACATCTAAATTTTATATTAAGTTGAGTATTGTATCTGACTTATGACATACATTAACTTAAAATTAACATTTTATAAAATATATGTATTGAGTCATAAAATGAGTTTACAACTTAGAATAGGTACATTTTAGGATTTTTAAATAAACAGTAATATAGATACACTAAATGTAATTTTACAAAACCTTTCGTTTGTTGAAACCTTTTGAGCAATTTAAATATATAAGAGTAGAAAATTCTTCTATTGTTGTAGAAAATTGAGTAAGATAGAGTACGAATATTAAATAGGAAAAGTACTTTCGAACACTAGTATAATGTCTAGGTCTATCAAAAAATATGTATGCCCTAAAAGCTAAAATTATTTATTGGTACAATAAGCTCCAAAATTACTACCAGTTATTATTAACTTTGGTGTTACTGACTTACTCTACTGGGTCCACGGGTGTATAATATTGCTAGATTTAAAATTTCATCCAAAATACTGAAGCTGCTAAGAGATTTATCGACATCACTAAAAGACCGCTATCATTTTAATTACGTTCAGAATTATCTTTAAAAACGTTATGTAAAATGTTTTAAAACTTACATAATAATTATGTACAACTATCATTGGTGTTTCACTACAAATTTTACAAAATATTAGGTCTTCCTACTCTTATTGTTGTTCCCTTGAATAAGAATTTCAAAATTAAATATAGTTAAATTGATAAAAGTTTTTTAACGGTTTAAAACATGGAATATATCAGAACCAATGATTCTTATATATATCCGCATGTGAATGCAACTGTATAAGATTATGACACACGACGTCTGTGGTTTTAATTAAATTGGCGAATATATTTTGCGTTTTAAACCGTTAAGTATTTTATTCAGCACGCGTAGACTACAAACAATGGTTTAATTTAATGACGCTTTTAAATTGTACATACATTAAAAGATGTGATTAAATACTTAACATTTTTTTACTGTAGATTTCACTGTCTTGTATAAATTATGTTTATATGAATAAAGTAGTACATATGTTATATAAAAAATCGCTTTCAACATATCCCCACGTTGTAAAAATTTATACAGATTTATCTGTTCATTGTATTTGTTGGTAATTGAGGGTTTTTTAATAAAAATAATGAAACTACAAGACCCTTAAAATATAACCTATTGGAAGACATCTCCTTTGAATCAGACTGGATGATTGAATGTGAATTATGATGTGGAATGTAAAACTATAATAAGACTAGACCTACATTCCTATAATGTGAAAATGAACACAGGAGAATAGTTATGATTACATTAACATTCTATCAATATACAGGTGCAGAGGTGATGTTTACAATCAGGATAAATAAACGAGCTGTATTCGAACATTCGAATGTAATTAATACATTAATACTTAAATATAACACTTTCAACGGTTTTAAACGTAAAATGTAATATAAGTTATACTTAATTTGACTACGCAAAGCATCAGTCAAAACATGCAGGTGATGTAAACTATTAAATAAAAGATAAATTAAATATTTCGGGTCTTAAACCGTTTAAAATGTTTTATTTAAATGTATACTGCTCGCTAGAAACTTTAGTTAATACCTAATCTATTAACACTAAAATCAAAAACCCACTGTTCAACGCAAAATATCGAGACTAAATTATCAACAGGGATACTTATGTAATTAAAGCGTCCGATAAAGCTACCAAATAAATAACACATTATACATCTAAACGCTCAACTTAACATAGCGAACAACTTCGGAACAAATATAAGTGCACTGGGAGACGCGAAGTGAATCTATACTACGACTAAAATTATCAATGACATTATGATACATGGGAGTTCGATGAATTTCGAATCTATGGCACTAATCTATGCGAATCTTTTGAAGTATTCGCTTCACATCAGACATTACTTCAACGTCTGAATGAGTCCAAGCTTTTACCCAGTAACGTAGCTAGGTGAACGTTGTCTTCTTTGCGTACTGGGGGTAGGCAAAGAAGACAACGTGTCCTATTCTCTTTTTTTCATGTAGCTTGTATATATAAGGCTCCAAAATTATACTTAGGAACAGGAACATTTCAAAAAAGTAAATACTTAGAAAACAGGTTGGGGGCCCCTAAAATCCGAGGCCCTGGTGGCTCCGAACCAGCCTGCCCCATGCTACGCCACTGGTTTTATCCTACCTTTTGTAAACCACGCTTTATTTGGGTTATATCACCCGCGTCGAATCCAAAACCGTTAATATGCTACATATAAGCCGGCTTCATTTTGTACGCTCGCTTCCAGATTTCGCATAAACATACAGTCGAATGGAATCTGTAGAAGATCGCGAGTGGCATAGATACGTGGGTTATTATTGTCCACGCCCACAGCCCGTAGAAATGCAACTGGACCGGGTGAGATTCAGCCCTCGACTTCTCCAGGGTATTGATAGCCCACATCGCCAAATTCGTTACCAGGAGGAACGTCACTATCTCGCGGCCAGGTTTCTTCCTCAGCTGCTCTGGCGTTTTCGCCGATCTGCGACTCGCGTCTAAAATAAACATCGTCTGGCACGTAGTTTGCACCAGCGAAGACAGAGCGGTTATTAGGATCAATATCGTGTTCTTCTCGATGGTGAAGTGCCCGCCGATGATGGTGAACGTTCCGTATATGAACATGCCAGTTTGCGCGCCAACGAGTAATATATTGTCCAATTCGAGGTTTCGATTCCCGTCGTACTTTAGATTTCTGACGCACACCATTCCGGCCAGGCTGGCGATAGTAGTCATCGCGTACAACGCTAATTCACAGACATTCACTTCGACGACTGCGAGGGTTGCATAATCCTTCTTAGAGACCAAAACGAAGAACAGTATAAGAGATATTATGGTTAAAACTAGCACTAGGATACCGAAAAATAGACCTTTGTGCGCCCTAGCACAGTCGACGCTGTATAAATGAGGAGATTTTTTATAAGCTAATCCTTCTAAAATTCTGGCTTTAGCTATCGCTTGCGCTACATCCTTCGATGGGTATTTCGAAATATTCTTCCACATGACGTATAAAATGGCCGCGCATATTAAAGAGTATTCTATTGTACAGGGAAAGAGGAAAGGCGATGCGTCTTGCACGAGGGAACCCATGATGTTAGTACGACGACATTCGAAGATGTGGTGGGGTCCTTTGAGTCCGCGTGGAACACGAAGATGGGCTGCCGCGGGATGTGACGGTGGAACTTCGGTCGAAAGAGACGCAAAAGCTTTCTGGAACGCTGAAAAAAGGTTAAAGTGTATTTTATTATTTGTGTGTGTAATGCATAAAACAATAGATGTCTGTTGTTTATCTAGTGTATAGTTAATTATATACAACAAAATAAATAAATAAAAGTTCCCAAGGCCTAAAATTTGTTTCACTGCAAGAAAATATCTTTGTCGTGCCTGTAAATCTGGATATTAAATGAGTGGAATATCTAAATACCAGGTCCAGGTCACGAACCACCGTCCACAGATGAGAAAGCCGTGAAATTTAATCGCGTTTCAATTTCAGTCTGTGGATTTCAGAATACCCAAAGCCAAAATTGCTTGATAGTGCGTTTTGTTTAAATACTATATGGCTGGGGTATTTCCCCTACAATCAAGCATGTCTGTCTTCGTCTACCATTTAAAAAAATAGATGTTTCGGTCGGGTAGAGCACAGAAGCCTAATCCACTATTTGCCTATAAATAAAATCAAGCAGTGTTCGCCCCATGTCCTACGGACGAAAACGAGATTTCACCTAAACTTAGATATCATCGATATGCATCCCTTAGAACCAACTTTGTTCCATCGCCTTAAGTAGAGTAAATCAAACAAAAATGTTTCAGGAGAAGGATCGCTGCGAATAAGTTGAAACCCAGTTTCCAATGTAAAACAAATTACGGGTCGGTACAGTGCATAAAGAATGAGGTTCGTCGAAATGAGAATCCCCTTTGTTTGGACTACGCACGGTTGAAAAATTACCTCATCCCAATTTATTCACCTTTGAGCCCGATTCTGAATACACTTGTGCGAACTTGAATTCCAGTTGCGGGAATCTTTTATCTAAAAATACGGTCAAGTATTGAAAAATGGTTTTATCGTCTAAAAAAAAAGGTAATCTCTTTGTTATAACTTAACGTTTTGAATGAATAATCAAAATTTTGCTGTTATTCATAAAAATAGCCACTGAACAACATCAATTTTCGCTGAGTACAAATTATTGTATTTGTCATCTGCGTAGAAATAAAATGCGCAGAACTTTTTTATGTTACAAGTGTATTATTATGAAGACGATGTTTTCTGCATGAATTTTGTACTTTTAATGCGGCGTTTGCATATTCAGCAATAACTTCTATATCAAAAACCAAAATGGGAGAAGATTTAACGTCTGTTCTAAACTTTAACGGTCTGATAAATTGTGTAAGGCTTTCACGGCTATCGTTCAGCCTATCATTGTCTTTCGGGCTGTTCGGCCGATGTGAGCGAGAAGAGGTTCTCGACGTTTCGCCATCACGTGTGGACGGCATCATTAGGAAATGTTGTCTCCTCGATTGCTCGAAAAATTAATAATTTCAATTCTTCATCTTCGTCGAGAACCTCTTCTCGCTCACATCGGCCGAACAGCCCGATAGACAATGATATGTTTAACGGTCTGTTTTGATTAATTCATATCTCACTGCTAAGAGACCTCCTCTATAGAACAAAGTTATTAAAAGTTTCGACCCACCACTCTAGTTGGCGGGCTTCCACGACAACACATGGTAGTAACTATAACCGGGAACAACGGGTTTCATGTTGTATATGAGACGTAGTAATCTAATTCGAATACATTTTATGCCCTGTATTTTAAGTTTAAGTACATATTTTTAGTAACATAATTGTATGTCTAAGTAATAATCTATTAACTCTGTAGTTTACGCGAGTAGTACACATTAAAAAAAAACACTTTAACGGTTTTAAACACAATATATATAGGGCCGGTATATTTACATTAGTTAAACTTATTACTTAAGTCTCCCCGAGACCACAGTTGCTGCAAAGTATCGAAAACGTCGGGCCGTAGTAAAAATAATTCCAAATAAGTTTAACTAATATACATCGCGTTTTAAGGCGTCAAAGTGTTTTATTTCAATAATGATCTATTATTAAAAATATAGTCTTTACTCTGTCTTTGTATAACTTTACATGTTGCATCTATCTGTAACTGTTTTGTATATCATCTACGTAACTGAGATAAAACGTCGACAGTTAAAAAAATGCTAAGTATATATCTTTATCGTCAAAAAGGTTGTATAATTTACCATGTTATACAGTTAATGGCTTCCCATGAAGCACATAGAGATAAAAGGTTATCAAAGTATCAATGGAACAAACCGATAAATCAAATGAAGCTAACGGCTTTGACTACATTCGGAGCGACCGCGCCCGTCACTGCATAATTAATTCAATTAACCGAACAAAGGAAATTATCACGAGACCGCGGCAGAATTAGTTTTATCGCTTCACTCCGTTCGTACATTTAAGCTGACTAAATCTAGTCTGTTTCGAAATGTATAATCACAATTCCCATTCCGTAGTGTCCCAGGACAAAATATACAGTGAAATGTATTTTTAACCCCCACTTATAAAGTGTTATAGTTGCGTATAAATTTTTTAAGTACACATAAGTAGGTCTTTCTTTATGAATGTTATGTATATATTTAATCACGATGATTGTTCGCTTCTGGTCTGCAATAAGCTCCTAACATGATAGCGTGAAACTTTAAATACATTAGCCAAATTGATAATAGGTGCACTTCAACCTGATGTGGCTTTCGATATTGGAAAAATAAATAATGAAGAAAGAAAGAAAAATGAAGACGATTTTTTAATTTATCCTTAATTAAAAATATAAATTCATTATTTAATTTTCTTTTTGTTAAAATTTTAATTGTGTAGTTACGACATCTTAATAATTCACTAATCGTTGCATAGCAACGCAAAACAATCTAATATTAAGAAACAGTTATTAACGGAGAGTGAGCAATGTGAAACGAACTGGAAAATCATTTATTTTCAAATATAAAAATATATCCTGAGCAACAAACACGCAACGGTATATAATAGACGTGGAAATAGCACAGAATACTAAAAAAATCGGACGCCGTAAACGCACTTAACAGTGAAGCCATTACGACCGCACTAAATTGGTGTATACACTGATACAAATAATAAGCCATTCATTTTGCCATCCAGGCACTTTTTAGTGATAGAGGACGACAGGCAAGCACTGGGTCCACATGATGGAAGGCGAAATAGCCATATGACATCTAAACTAGATGTGTTGTTGACCTGTTTTGGCCTTAGCGCTTAAAACGTGAAACTCCTACAATTCCATTTTCCTATACTATTGTCCTATTTACTCTAAAACTACACAACGGTGCATTGCAACTTCGTAGGGATAAAGTGTAGGATCATTGAGCAGGCGTAAAATCATAAATAAACATTCCTTTTGGTTTATTCAGTATTCTGTGGAAAACACATAGAAATGCGGAAATGTCGTTAAAAACAATTAAATGTGTGTGCGTCACGCAACTTGTGTTGATTTGAAAAGATTTTTCCGTTAATGAGAACTTGGTTGTGAGTAAAAACAAAAGGATTTATGTAAGATGAATCCAATTTAAACAAACACAAATCTGTATATGATTTACTGGCCCATTTCTTAAAAACAACAGATACATTTTAAGATAAGACTTACCAAGTCTGTGCGATAATCCAATAGTTTTGTTCTCTGGGTCGTAGAAGGTCAGAATCTCGTGTTTCGTCTCTTGAACTAACACATTGAGCCAAACACTTAGATTTGTCCCGACCATGTGCATCAATCCAAAACGCGCCACTATTTTATGCTTGTACACTTTCATCTGGTAGAGTAAATACATATTTAATTTACATATGTTGTCGTTTTTGATAAATAGAATTGATAAAAAAATACAAACGAGGCATTATCGCTAAAAAGCGATCTCTTTCAGGCAATGGATATATATTCTGGATTTCAGATTAATGTGTGGCCAAAAATCCTTTTTAATGCAAAATTATCAGGTAAGATCTATTACAATATAAACAAAGGAACTTCTATAAATTACAAATCGATTATATATTGAAAAAGAATGTACACGGGCAGGAGTTGAACCGGCATCCATAGCGTTCTGTACTGTTACTCTTACCTAAATTGAGCTACCGCGTCCTATACATAATCGTCGAATTTTTTCAAGCCATTGATGTATCTGCACCTCTCTAGCAATTTTCAAAGAAAGCTTGCCTAAAATTCTCTTTTTAAACCTTGTTTTAGAAATAATTTTTGAAAACTTTAATATTTTTAGACTGTATTGCAGGACATGGTAGCTCAATTGGTTAGAGCAACAACATCGCAATGCAGACGATGCGCGTTCAAATCCTACCCGAGGCGATTTTTTTTATTTTTGATTTTTAATTTAGAAATAATTATCAACTGTATCAAAAAAAAGTATATTACCTCATTGTTTAAGAAGATGAAATACATCTGTATGAAGATGAACGCCATCCTAGTCGCTGGAGTAAGTGCTAGGAGCACATTGTGGCAGTTTGTATTTCTTTCCAACTCCCAGTATTGACCGAACTCCAGCCCCGAGTAAATCATGGAACCGATTCCGAAAGCTGGAAAATAATACAATAAGAGCAGTCAGGACTGGATTTAATGAGATACATTCATTTTATTAAATTCCTAAAATAAAAATTGGTTGCATGGCCATATAAAGAGATAGTTTTTTATATTATTAAATTTAATAGTTGTAATTTTTAAAATTTAAAATAATTAATATCAATAAAATAAGTTAGTGTTATATGGCTGGGAGATTAATCTACCAACCCAATGTGGACCCCATTCTTGCGACCTCTTTTGCAAAATGATAGCAGTACAATAGGTAAACAACTGGGCGTAGGTTCGGTTCCCACCGAACATTTTCGTTACAAATAAGCTTGGATAACGAGGATGTTAAATGGCCGACAAAATTAATTAAAATTCCAGTTATGACAGACAGGCGAGAAACATAATCGCGGTTGTACATCTATAGTAATATATAAAGTAGTTTGTTTGTTTGTTTGTTTGAACGTGCTAATCTAAGGAACTACTGGTTCGAATTGAAAAATTCCTGGATGGTTAGAGCATAAAACATCGCGATGTTACTAATAGGAGCGGAGAAACAATGGGGAATGTGAAAAAAACGGAGGAAATTATTAACACTACGAAAACGGTTCGAGATACCCAAAAAAATATGTAAAAGAAAGAATTAATGCCTCTTTAAATAATCTAAAATAAAGTCCGCGATATGTCTATCTTTTAAGATGAACTTGCAAGAACGAAGGGACGCGTATGAAATCGTAGGTAAGAGCCTAAATTTATAGAGTTGAACAGGAGGTTTGCAACTTTGCATAAACAAACTTGACGCCCAAATTAACTATTCTACGCGGACGAAGTCGCTTACTCAGCTAGTTTACGATATAAGACAATATAGGACGACAGCATGTCTTGTTTAGATATTATATGCACATAGTATATATACAAAAAGCTTAATATTTAATCTCGTAACGTCTAGTTAGTTCTAGATACATTTCTTAATACATATATCAATATCACGATTCCGTTAAAACAGTTAAACGGACAAAGAGAAATCTAAAGCGTGAATCGGAAACCATTAGCTTGATTTAATGTTAAAGTTTGTAAGGACGGTATTATGCGACTTGCTATTTCAAACTATTCGGTTTATGCCTTATTGTTTTAGTGCTTAATACGTCCTGTATTATAAAAGGTATAAGTACACTATGTCGGCATGTTTTTGTGATTATACAATTATTCTACGTTAATGCGTTGTCTTGCTTTGCGTTATAGAGGGGGTTTAAATCCAGGGAAAAATAATTTTCCGCTCAACTGTAAATATCAGTAAGACAGGAGAACCTCTTTCAGACAACTCAAAATAGAAGTGTTACATACTAATTCATTTGATGCGTAAAAATAGTATAAATGTAAATATTTTATTTGGCTGTAGTTTATGAGAGTAGTAAAAAATTATTGATTTTTTTATTATTATATTTATTTTAATAGTTGAGACGCTAATTATATTATATGGTAACAACGACGAAACAGATGGCGTTGCAGATTTGACTTAGACGTTACGAACAACCTTTCATCTCAAGTCCCCCAGTACCCCGTCGGGCCGTAGTAAAAAGAAATTGTTAATACTTTTACTGATATATTTCGCATTTTAGAGCGTCAGATGTGTTTTATTAAAATCAATATATTTTACTATTTTATAAACCTGTTGTAAATAAGTTAACTCATACATTTCACACAAGAACAAAGATTTCAAATCCAAAACTGTAAATGACACAAAATTGTATTCAACACTTTCGAAAAGCGCTAACGGAAACAAAATAAAAACAATAGTCGAACTGTCAAACCGGGTGGCTGAAAGTATTTCGTGGAAAGAAGATTAAACTGAAAAGTTTGTGGAGTGTCCGCCGAGATTAACAATCCTCCGAACCGAAATAGTTACTTTTATTCTCTCACTAAATTGTTGGGACGGAAACCTTTACATTCGCGACGAGGAGTGAAATTATTTAGCGCTTAAACGCGGCTTCAACTTAACAAAGAGATTTTAATCTAAAAGCTTTGAATACAGTTGTTGTTTTCATAAAGGTATATGATTTTATTATATGCGAATCTTAAACTCAGTTTTAAACCTCATCTTTATGCGAATAGATTATCATAATCAAGGAGCGCTTTTGAATTAAGTCGAAAGGTGAGAAATCCTTAAAGATGAGGTATTAAACGGTTTTAATATAATACTTTGTTAAGAAGTTTACTAAGGTCTATTAAGATAAGATTTTTTTTTATATTTCCGCTCACTGAAAACAATATGAAAATATTTTGAAAACTTTTTTATTTTTCACATGTTTATTGCACATGATGGCATTAAATAAATTAATTGGGGCCCCCCCCCCCCCCCCCCCCCCCTAATCGATTTTTAATTTATAAAAATAGGTTCCTATTAATGTTTCTTTATGACAGAGAATGGAGTTTACGTGATACCTTTAGGTAAATAAACTTAAATATATTTCGCGTTTAAACGGGTTAAAAGTGTTCTATTCCAATGCTACTTAATAACATAGAAAACGTAGCTTTATGAAAAGAGTCACATGACATCACAAAAATGAAAACAGAGATATACCCAATACAGGTGTACCCATAGCAGGATTTACAATTTAACTCACCAACAGCGCCCATTCTCAAATAGAAACTGCCATAGTGATGTGTTCTCGACGTCAACGCGAAACCCAGTGACAGTCGTTTAGCCAGAAATTGCGGTGGGATGTGCGGGGCTGTTGCTGTACTGCGCTCCGTCCGGGATGAACAGGAATCGGATTCGGATTGTGACGAGCTTGTGTCTGATTCTGGACAGAAAATATTTGTTTAGAAAGAAAAACACGTTGATACAGACAACAAAACACAAAAAAAGCCTTACGTTAAAACTTATTAGAACAAGGGGGAGAGTCACAGTAGCTATTGAGCTATACTCGTGACTTCGTCCCCGTAGAATAGTTTTTTTTTGCGCATCGAAATTTGTATTTGCGGACCTTCTCCACATGTTTCCAAGATATAGCTGTTACCCGTGACGTCGTCCGCGTCCCATTGTTCTTGCAAGCTAATTTTAAAAGATAGACATGTACTGTCGCGGAAATTTTTTATCGTTTAAAGTGGAATCATTCTTTTATACATATTTTTGGGTTTTGAAACGTTTTTCCAGCACCCACAAAGATGAATTATTAAATTCGTTTCATATTTGGTTAGTGGAATATAAAAAATTTCATAATATTAATTTAGTTTGCTTCATTTCTTCAAGGGTCAAAGATGCTCTATAACATAAGCTACCCATAACTTGTGCTAATTATTTTCATATAATCACAATTTTTATTATAAAACATTTTAAGTAAAATATTCTGTAGGGTTAGTATAAAGCTAAATCTATTGTTTATTAATCTACACAATAACACTTGATACAGCTGTAATGAGTTATTATATTTAAACCTGAACAACACTTCCTCAGTTCAACTTCATAAATTGATAAATTTAGTATGATAATGTAAAATGCTATGTTGTGTTTAGCGATCATAAACAATAAGCAAAAGCCAAGTATAATGATTGAAATTTATAGCACAAAGCTCGCCTATCCTCAAAGGAAATTAAACGGTTCTAATTGAGTTTTACAATTGTGAAATATAAATTTAGATTCGCGTTGATTTTAGATACAAAACACAAATACAACGTATACATTTATAACTTTATTATCTACTGACATCCCTTTTGTAAAGGGGAGAACTTCTGGAAGACTCAAGACAATACAAAGACTAATAAAAATTATTTGTTGGGCATTTACCCAAGTTAGTTGCTTTGAGAATTTTAGTGAGACGAAGAGACCGCAGTATTTTGCGGCTTAAATTCAATAGAAGCAAAGCGTATAACTAAGTTGTACGTACTATATACTGCGCAAGAAAATTTACTTAAAATCGAGACGAGAAGTTGAGTTAACTCTAATTGAAACACGGAGCTTATCGAGTAACAAACTTAGGTAATATTGAAAGTTTTATTGAACGGTTGAGAAAAGGTAACATCGTTGTGTTTCATTTAAAAAATAAAGGAATGATTCGTAGCAAAAAGGCAATTCAGACAAATTGTACAAGAAGCTATAACAAAAAAGATGATAATTCTAAGGGAGTTGTTGATTTTAAAACAAAAATAAATTACTGAATTATTGTTTTATAAAGGAGCTGACAGAAAAAGAAATATTTATCGGTTTGAAATACGAAATTTAATTTTAAGTTCGATTGTGTGTCTCCACACAGAGAAGAATATTTTTATAAGAATTCAAAAGATATTGTTACAACTATTTTATTATTTATTTTATTTAAAACTAGCTGTTACTCACGAAGTCGGCGATGTGCCGCGTTAATCTTAAGAGCATACAAAGAGATATAACATTTAGAAGAATCGCTCTTTCATACAACATTTGACCCGGTTTTTTCCACATTTCGCTCCTATTAGGTGCAGCATTTCTAGCCTAAAGCCTTCCTCGATGAATGGTAAAAAAAAAATTAAACTCGAGCTCAAACCATTTTTTCAATTAAAACTATAGTTCCTAAGATCGCGTGTCGAAACAAACAAACCCTTCAGCTTTATAATATTAGTATTAAGTTGACAAATTTGTAACAAAATTTACTTACTAGCAACAACAGTATTATCAGGTGCGTGGCGAGCACGATCTCGTAGAAGAGCGGCATACATGTATAGCAGAAAGAACATACTGCCTATATACAGATATAAGTAGAATCCCTGTGAAAGAAAAAGCAATTAAACTATATAATACATTTATTTGAACCTTAATTCGCCATTGTTAAGGTTAAAATTACATTGCCCGAGAGGAGCGTGCGTAGCTCATTTGGTTAGAGCAACAACTCGGAACGCTGAGCGATAGCGGTTCAAGTCTAGCCGAGTCGTAATTTTTTTCAATTTATAATGTACTTAAATTTAAGAATTCCCAAATTTGATATAAGCTTGATGTAATGTCAAATAGAAAAGACCATTACAAAAACCTAAAACTGTGTGATTAAAATCGATTTTATTTACAGGCAGGTAGTTGACGAGCTAGTTTGTCTAATGGTAGCAATCGTGAGTTCGATTTACACCGAGTTCAACATAATTCAGATCTATTTCTAAATATGTTAGACTTCGTCTAACAAGCTGGATATTTAATGCGAGGTAGAAATATCGAAAATTTTGTCTCAGTCATGAATCACCGTCCATATGCGAAGAAGACGAATTTATCTTAAAATATATGAATACATATATTATCTTTTAAATAAAACACGGTTTAAAACCACGAAATACATTACTCAAACTTCATGTTAGTTCAAAGTCTTGACAACATGGTGTACTACTCGCGTAAGCTACACGCAGTATCATTGCTTTTTTAATTTAATAAGTAATTAATTATTCAGAATTAATAAATTTATAATCTTAACTAGATTGAATATGCACATTTTGAGTAAGAAATGTTTATAAGTTTTGCATGTTAAGGCTATTTTACTAAAGTACAGTACAGTATGAGCTCGTCTAACCCGCTGTCACCCCTCACCTGTGCAACACCTGAATTTGAGAAGAAACCCTTGAAACGACCCTGCCTTTATTCTCTAATGCTCGCCACGGCACAACGCAAGCCGGATTTGTAATACAATCTTATATTATTGCGACGAGTACTGTACTTAAACCGTCACTCGACTTTATTTACGAATGATTTAAAAAACGTCGTTGAATTGAATGAAGCACTTCATTTATTTTTAACTAAGTTTTGTCTATAGTTAACGCGAGTATTATACATTTAAATAAAACACTTTTAACAGTTCTAAACACGAAATGTATAAGCGAAGTTATCTTAATTACGAGCCAACGAATTTAAATACTTTTTATTTATTCTGCTTAATAATTCGTAATTGTTTATTATACTACCATCAGTTACGGTTTTTTGGAACCACGTGACAAAGACTTTTGAAAAGAAGAAACTCTTATCCTTCCTTACTAATATTATAAATGCGAAAGTAACTCTGTCTATTACTCTATTAGGCCAAAACTACTAAACGGATTTGAATGAAATTTAGTATACAGATAGTCTAGACCCTGAGAAAGAGCATAGGCTACGCATTTTTATTGCGAAAAAGGGATTGTAAGGGGCTAAAAGGGGGGGGTGAATTTTTGAATGGAAAATCGTGGTTTTTGAAGATAGAACAATGAAACTTTCCTATTTGGCTTTTTGGGAATAGGAGTGGGAGTGGGAGTGGGAGTGGCAGTGAGAGTTAGTGTAGGAGTGATGTGAGGTGAGTTTGTTGCGACAAAATAGCACTTACAACATAGATTGGCTGCGATAAATGCTCAATTACAAAATTAATAAACAGCCTAAATAATTAAAAATTCTATCCCAATTCACTATTTTCAAGCATTCGCGGGCACAGCTAGTATTATATATATTGGCATAATATACATTAAAAATGTATGTCGATAAAAAAAAACATACACCACGCGCGTGACTTGGAACCTCAACATGTAAGTGTTAGGGTTGAAAATACATTGCGCAAGAGATGCATGTATCAGTGATTCGAAGAAATTCGATGATGACGTTTAGGACACGGTAGCTCAATTGGTTAGCCGTTAGAGCAACAGCACGGAACGCTGTGGATAGCCGTTCAATCCCCCGTGTCTATGGATTCTAAATCTATATAGACTTACCTCATAAAAAGACGGTGGAATGTAAGTAGATATAACTTCTGCCATAGGAAAAGCAATACCCATGACGACTAGCAGTTTTCCATATAACGCAGACAGTGTCGTTGCAAATGCTTCGCTCCTGGTAACAAATAATATATTACATGTTAATATAGCAAACTTAGATATATTGACGTAAAGACACTAATGATATTGGGATATACTTCGTTTGAAAGAGATTGTTTAATGATAAAGGAGAACAAACAAGCATCGGACTCACTTAATGGTAGATGAGATACCCTAGCCTATATTATCTAAACAAGATGCGCGGCCGACCCATTTGGCTTTGGATATTCGAAATCCACAGACCGAAATCGAAACATGATTGAACTTCACGGCTTTTTCATCTGGAAGGTGGTTCGTGATCCGAACGGAATTTCTATATAAAATACTGTCTATAGTTTACGCGAGTAGTACACATTTAAATAAAACAGTCTCCTCGTGACCACGGCTGCTGCAAAGCATCCGAAACGTCGGGCCGAAGTTAAAACTCATTTTCAAATAAGTTTAACTAATATATCGCGTTTTAAACCGTTAAAGTGTTTTATTTAAAAAAAGGAATTTCTATATTCCAACCATTTAATATCCAGATGTCCAGACGTCCGACGTGTTTCAGAAAACTTATAAGTTGATTAGAAAAATGTTGGGGGACGAACCCGGTGGTGATCGAATCCACGACCTGTAGATTATTAGCCGTACATTGCTACCATTCCACCAACGAGGCCGTGAAAAACTTAAAAGTAATGCCTGGCCAAATTATAAAACAGGCCTATTTACAATTTTGTACCAAAAAAAGTAAAGACGGAAAAAAAGTGTAGAGTATATAGTTATCTGAACATATGATAAGTTTATATTAAATGCTGTTAACGAACTGACGTTAATTAAGACGAGAAGCTTCGTAAACATGAAACATCGCTTAATTCAATGTGCCATATTTGAAATAATTTACTTGTTACGTTTATTCATTATGAGAAAGAAGAAGAATAATAATCTATATAATACCGTAAGAAATTTTAAGCCTTAATTTATTTGTTCAATGATTACTTTAATATTATAATACATTCTAATTAGTGTACAAACGAGTGTTGTTGTTCGGTGTTTGGTAGAGACAGTCCTAAAATTGTGTATTGTATAATATAATATACTCAATTTTATGTTTACTAATATAAAACATCTGTGATTAATAGGCGCGAAAAAACAGTGCGATATGTGAAAAAAAAAGGAGTTAACTTTGTGGGTTTCCGATGCATGCTTTCCGAATACGAGATACATAAAAAATATGTATGAAGGAAAGATTTCTCTTTAAATTAATTTTCCAAATGTATGCGACAGTATTTGTCTATCTTTTAAAATTAAATCGCGTGAACGACCGGACGCGGATGACGTCGTGTAAAACAGCTTAAATTTACAGAGTTGAACAGGAGGTTTGCAAACCAAATTTTGATACCCAAAATAATAACTAATGTACAGCTAGCTAGCTTGATATAACGCTATTTAACGGATTTAATCACGAATTATGTAAATATTAAAATAATTCAGCTATGTAGCGAATATGGCTTCAGTGCGAATTAAGAAAATGGCTTCCCTAATGTTTTTGCAGGAACTCGAAGTAACTTTAATTAATTATTATTAATTCATTCTTCATTGATCCATCTACTGTGTCTTAAACTGTTAAAATTGTTTTAGAGCGTTTACTGTTAACTATCAAAAGAGTGATAAGTTTCTTTACATCGCAAGCAGATAACGACAAAAAAGATAATAATCCTAAAAAAATAAGTCCTTATACCACCTTTTTTAAAATAATATTTAAAAACGTGGTTTAAGGACAATAAACGGTCTCAGAGATCCTCGATAAAATGTTAAAAACACGTTATTAAATTCTTGTCACGATGTTCGGATTATCTCCTTAATTCTGTTCTTTTTAGTTTGAAATTGGTGCTTTTATAATATTGTTATCAGCGTTTGAAATTTTTTCCACTAAAAAAAATGTGTTTACAAAAAACCATTACAAACTAGATCGTGTGGACGAAGAAGAACACCAATAGTCTCATATTAAATAAAACACTTCTAACGGTATAAAACGCGAAATGTATTAGTTAACTCATTTATAGTTTATTTTAACTACGGCCCGAGATTTCAGCTGCCGTGGTCGACATTCCGTGCAGTAAAAAACCATAAATTATATTATTCTCGATCAATAAAGAAACATTTAAATGGGAAGCAATTCGAAGTCCTACCAATGTATATAAAAATACTTATATTCATTTCTTGCCATTTCACTGGTTTTTCTCTAACCCTCATTATTAAACAAAACTTAGTTTTAAACTCAACTTGTTTAGAAATGCCGGATAGATATATTTTTATAACACAGCGGTAGTTAAAACCAGTAAACCAATATTCAGTCGAGGGCGTTTTCCAACCCCCCCCCCCCTTTTTTTTTTTTTTTTTTTTTCCCCCCTTCCCTTTTTTTTTTTTTTTTTTTCTTTTTTTTTTTTTTTTTTTTTTTTTTCCCCCCCCTTTTTTTTTTTTTCCCCTTTTTCCCCCCCCCCCCCCCCTCCCCCCCTTTTTCCCCCCCCCCCCCCCCCCCCCCCCCCCCCCTTTTTTTTTTTTTTTTTTTTTCCCCCCCTTTTTTTTTTTTTTTTTTTTAAATTTTTTTTCCTCTTCCCCCCCCCCCCCCCCCCCCCCCCCCCCCCCCCCCCCCCCCCCCCCGGCCCCCCCCCCCCCGGCCCGGGGGGGCCTTTTTTTTTTTTTCCCTTTTCTTCCCCCCCCCCCCCCCCCCCCCCCCTCCCTTTTTTTTCCCCTCTCTTCCTTTCCTCCCCCCCCCCCCCCCCCCCCCCCCCCCCCCCCCCCCCCCCCCCCCCCCCCCCCCCCCCCCCCCCCCCCTTCCCTTTTTTTTTTTTTTTTTTTTTTTTCCCCTTTTTTTTTTTTTTTTTTTTTTTTTTTTTTTTTTTTTTTTTTTTTTTTTTTTTTTTTTTTTTTTTTTTTGGGGGAGTCGAACCATTTTCGTGACCTGTCGAGCGACGCATCGGAAACCTACAAAGATAAATAGTTTTCCCCGTTTTTACCAATTTTTTTGCTGTTTTTTCGCTCCGACAACGCAATGTTTTATAGCCTTCTTCGATAAATGTTCTTACCAACAAAATAATAATTTTCAATTCAAACCAGTAGTTTCTGAGATTAGCGCGTTCAAACAAACAAACAAATAAACAAACTCCGCAGCTTTATGTATTAAGTATAGATATAGATTAATTATTGAAGTATAATAATTTTGTAGTCATAAGCATATTGTTAAAAAATGAATAAATGTCATTATTTGTCATTTTTACACATCACTTAACTATGTCAGTCATATTTGTCTCGACAGTGAACTGTCGTAAAGTATGAGTAAACTGATTCCATAAAAAGAAACATCTAAACAAGATGCAATAATTAGAAAAAAATTGACCCAATTTTTGAATATCGAACTCACGACCCCTCGATTATTAGCTATACTTTGTTAGTAGTAACTAACTATACGATTTCATTCGAAGGAGTCAAGTGCGCTTTCTAAGTAGCCGATAATGTAATGGAAATAATTATCTTGATTCTTGTCTTACATAAAATATCATTTTTATAACTTTAATTATTAATTAAAAAATCTGGGACGTTCTTGTGAAACATGCCCTTATCAGACTCGTTAACCCGACACGTGAGAAGGGATTCATTAGCGGTTCGCACTGCATTTTAGCCCTTGCCCCATTAACACAAGGGTTAATTTTGTGGTGATGTTAACCAGTGTTACAGTAGAATCTGTTTTAATAATACAAGAATAAGCTTTTATCGTTACTTCCCCGTCTTCGCTCGTCAGAAGTGCTCCCTTGACGTTGAGAAACTTGACGCAATAAACACGTTCGTAATTTATAAGACATCTCTCTTTTAATCTTGTAAAGAACGTATATTAGTAACGGGGTGGGACTCTGAAACATTTGATATAGGTAGGCTTTTTATTGATACAAGTATCTTTTTATACCGCTTTTATTCAGATGAGCTAAGTGTGAGTGTGTAAAATAATTTATATAAATACCAATACATACTAAGTGTGTGTATGTGTATAGTATGTGTATCTGTATATTAAATCTTTAATTACATTTACACACACAGATAACAAGAAGTGTATTGGCATTTTGGAAATGTTTTATAGTAATTTACAGTTATCATTTAGTTTTTGTACTATTAATAACAAGATTTAAGGATATAATACAAATTAAATAACACTAGACGCGGGCGGGACCTGAACCGACCTCCATAGCATTTCGTGCTGGTGGTCTAACCAACTGAGCTACCGTGTCCGACACGTCATCGTCGAATTTTTTCTACACTTTGATACATGCACCTCTCGCGCAATCTAAAGTAAACTCCTTTATTATTATTGTCTACACATTGATAAGATCTTATTCAGAATGTATTTAATTTAGTAATTGTTTCCTAAAATAAGTTAATTATCAAACGCAACACAAAGGTATATAAACTCATGACAAACCTAATACCGCCTATCCATCTACTTTTCAAGGTGGCACGAAAAGCTACCAAGGACACGACAAGACACTAAATTATCCTCAACCAGAAACATGAGACCCGCCAGCGTTGTCCCTAACAATACTACACAACTGCACCATGTACCGAACTTATACTTTTCGGAGTGTCCGTCATGTTTGGTCTTCCGTATCCCTCACTCCCTTGGGGTAAGCCCCCTCGGAACATGCCCGGTTGCCATGGCAACCGCGTGTTATTGGCTCCCTGCAGCTATTCTAACGATACCTCCAAAACATTCACATCCACACAAAAGAACGGGACCCGGTTTTCGAGAGATACTCCTTGTGTTCCACTTTTAACATCGCGAGTTGAATGAACGCTCTTGAATACGAATTATTCTGCAAGTAGTTAGGGATTCACATCCTATACAATACTCGTCTTGCAATTTAGAACCGTTTCTAGATTGTAGATTGTAAGAACGGGACAAAGGGACGTCTAATATTCATTTAAAAGGATGCCGTTATGTCATAGCTTACATACAAAATTGAACGTAGGACATCCATTGACAAA